GTGTTCGGATTCTGGCCTCCCTTGATGACTGGCTGTTATGGGCTTCCAGCCAGTCCTCGTGTCTGCTCGCAGGGGATTTGGTTCTTCCCGGCTTGCCGGGTTCGAGTTCTTGGTGTCCTGGCAGAAGTCCCATCTGGTTCCCTCTCAGGTTCGGGCTTGGCTGGGTTTTGTGTGGGACGCTTGGACCTCTTCCCTGTCTCTTCCTCCGGCGGCTCTGCTTCGCTTGGATTCCCACCTTCGTCGTCTGTTTCTGAGGGGCTCCTGGGTCACGTGGCGATTACTCAGGGGTTTGTGCGGGGAGCTAGACCTTTTCCATGGTGGTCTACCCGCTGGTTTGGGTGTGGCTTTGTTGGCTTTTCTTGTTTCTTCGGGAACATCCCTTCGGCCTCTCCCGCGACCACTGGTTCGGCCTCCAGGGGCTTTGCATCGGTTGCTGTGTCCCCGGCTGCCTCTTGGGGTTTTTCAGCGTTCAGTGCCTTGGCACCTACCTGAGCCCTCACTCGTTGTGTTCACGGATGTGTCGTCTCTGGGCTGGGGCTTTCTGACCAGTGCTCACCTGGCCGGCCAAAGTCAGTGGGTTTCGCCCTTCGGTCAGGCTTACAGCACGGTGCAGGAGTTCGTAGCTGTGTGGATGTCACTCTGGAGGGTTTGGGTCTCTCGCGGCTCGTCGATCTGGCTCCGTTCGGACAGTTCCCCAGGGGTTTTGCTGTTGCTCCAGATCCTGGCTCGCGTAGGTACTTACTAGGTGAGAGTTGCCTTTCTGGCTCTTTGATGGCCGGCCCAGCCTTGGTTTCAGGTGCTGCTTGCTCGGTGTCCGAACTCAAGGGTCTTCTCACGGCACCACCTCTTTCAGCTGATCGGTCCAGCCCGATATGAGGCTGGTTCGTTCATTCTCGAGTCTTCACATCTGGAGTTTGTGTCTCGAGTCAATCATCCATTGTATGGGGCGCACGTGGCTTCGTTGTCGGTCTCTCGCCTGCGTGCTTCGTCTAGACGGCAGTATGAAGTTCCTGGCGGTCCTTCCGTTTTTTCCTATCTCTGCGTCAGTGTACTTCGGTCTCTGATAGGGTGGTTTTGTCTTTTCGTGGTTGTTCCACGACCGTCATCTTATGCCGCATAAAGTCGCCTCGTATCGTGTTGTGCTGGCGGAGCCGCTTCAGCTTGCGTTCGGTCTTGTTACTTCTGACCCGTTCTGCCACCTGTCTTGTGTGTTGTTTCACTTCCGGCCTGGTCCTGTGCCTCCAGTGCCATCCGATTCGTTGGCCCGGGTGATCTCTTTTTCTCTCTTCCCCTTGGTTTGTTGTGGCCCCTTCGGTTCAGTTTTTTTTCCGCGTCTTTTTTTTTTTCCTGTTGGCGTTGGCCTCTGGGGGACGGTTCGGTAGCTTCAGGCTCTTCTCCGGCGCAGGAGTTTTTCTGCTCGTTTGGTCCTGATGGTAGTTTTGGCTTGTTTGCGGTAGTCTTCTTTTATCTGCCGCTGAAAGGGTCAGCTAGTTTTCAGAGGGGTCCTTGGGTTCTTGTTGCTTGGTTGGTCAGGCCAGGGGTGCATTATGTGTTGTGTTCAGTAGTAGCTCTCTGCTAGTCTCTACTTGTATTGGCCTCTGTGGCCGTGTGGGGCACTTTAGATTGCCCGAATTCCCTCCCTTCCTTCCTGTTTTGGGTTTCGGGTCTCCTAGGTCGTCTGTAGGGTCTTTCAGTTTGTCAGTTGTCTTGTTTTTGAGTATGGCACGTAGTGTTCACCTTCCAGGTCCTTCCCTCTTTTCCTTATCTTTGGTGAGGTAGCCCCGGGAAGCCAACGGGGCTCCCCCCCAGAAAACCAGCATTGAATGTAATGAAACGCCATTTCTGGGTGAGACCCTAGAGACTCCCCGGCATCCCTCCCTCCCTCTGGTTGGCGGTGTTTTGACATCCAGTCTAAGAACTGACGGTTAGATCGCCATTGCGTGGGGGGGGTCTGAGACTTCCCCCCTTAACCCTCCAGGGTTAACCCTTAAGCTGATCATGGCGTATATATACGCCCTGAGTAACATGTCCCACAGTGCGCATGGCGTATATATACGCCATAGGGTGCCAGGCCCGATTCAAATGGCCCGCGGCTACACGGGGTTCACATTAGCTTCCTCAGGGCTCTTGTAAACAGACGCCATTTTTTTTGTTAAATCGTGGGCAATTTTCTCAGGTGTGAGAGGCACAGTACTGTTGGAGCAACCAAGGCTGGCTCACGCAGCATGAGCGAACAGCATTGCTGTTTAGCTTGTGACCACAGCATGGCCAAAAAATGTCAAAATAAATATATAATTGTTATTATTTAGCGATGACAATATTACAGATGACCCCTGACTGTGATATAAATAACCAGGGTTGTGATAATAGCAGGATTGTTGTAATAATTAGCACTGTGGGAGGAGTGATGCTGAGAGACAGAGGGAGACAGCATCGTTTACTGATTGTGTGGCCACCTGTTATTGTTTGCATTCACCATACCAGCTCAGTGGTTCTCTATGGTGAACACAAATGTAGATACTTATATATAATGTGTGTGTATTAGTGTAATAACAGCAAAAGGATTATGCTGGGAGGAGCCATTTGGGTGACGGAGGTGATGTCGTCTGCACGATTTGTCTAGCTGTTTAGAGGGTGGCCACTATGCTCTTTGGGCGCTCTACAAGCTTAGGTGTACAGTTACGGTGAATAAACATTTAGATACTTATATATAATATGTGTATATAGGGTAATAACACTGCAAACAGTATTGTTGGGGGAGAAAGTTTAGTGCATGTGACCTTGAATGAGTGAGGGAGCCGCCAGCTGTGTATAGGGACGACTCTTAGTGCCTGAACTAACTATATCAGCTTAGCTGTACAGTTGTGGTGAACAAAATATATACATACTTATATATAACATCTGTATATAGTGTAATAACACCACAAATGGTATTGTTGGGGAAGAAAGTTGCATGTGTTGAGGGAGTAGCAGCGAGTGGCTGGCTGGTGTGTGGCGGTAACTCTTCGTTGCTTTTCGACTCTCAATACCAACTTAGTGGTTCGTTATGGTGACCAAAACATACACATACTTATATATAACCTGTGTATATAGTGTAATAGCAGCAAAACTATTTGTTTATTGTTTTGTAAACATAATAATTGAATCACTAATGTGCACATCATACTTTTGAGTATAGCGATTATTCACCACTTTTATTATATAAATATATTGCAATACACACTATTGAATAATATTACTGCAAAAAAACTAAGAAAAAATCAATCGGAGACATTGAAACAATTAGGTAATAATATCTTTGTGGCAACTCCCACCTGTTAGTGCGGGTGAAGCTGACCGGGTTTGACGACCGCTCTGTCAACGCCCACTTTTTGCCAGACTTCCTCGGTCAATTGCGCCCAAAATATGTCACCTATGATTTTTTTTCCCCCGTGCTCAGGGGACACAAATTAACATGTTTAGAAGACGAAAAAAAAAAATTTGAATTTTTTTTTTCTTGCGCACACAGGGGTGTAAATGTCCCCAGGACCCCTGAGCAGTGTAAGGGTTAAGGGGGAAGCCCAACCCAAACAAGGGGGGGGGGGGTTGCGCAGACGGCGACTCGGCAATGTAATGACCTCATGCTAATTTGCTAGTCTTAATTTGGGGAGTTCTGTCCACTTGTTTGGCTTTCAGTAGCAGTAGTTCCACCAGAATAGGGGTTTGTTTTGGGACGCCTACCTCTCTGGGTGTCAGACCTGGTTGATAGCATACATAGAATGCTCCCAACCACATGGGAGTTTCTATAGGCCATTGCTCCTCGTGCCTCTCTGAGGAGGCTAGGTTCTGGTTCGTGGTCCCCAGTAGGCAAGAACTCCCTGCACATTGACTGATGCCAGAAAGTTATACATATCCATTCAGCCTGCATAGCTCCGGGAAGTCTCCGGGTCTCACCCAGAAAATGGCGTTTCATAACATTCAACACTTTTTTTTTGTGGCAACTATTTTGTCTGAACACCATATCAGCTTAGTTGTACAATTATGGTGAATGTAACCTGTAGATACTTATGTATAATGTGTGTGTATATAGTGTAATAACACTGCAAACAGTATGATTAGAGGAAGAATGTTGGTTAGTGAGATAGCATCGTCTGCTGGCTGAGGGTATTGGTGGCCACTAAGTTGGATGCCATACCAGCATAGTTGTACAGTTTTTCACACATTTTATTATATAAATATATCATACTACACACTATTGAATAGTATTACTGCATAGAAAAAAAAGATAAAAAAATAAATCAGAGACATTGAAATAATATAATATCTTTGTGGCAACTCCCACCTGTCAGCATGGGTGGAGGAGACTGTCACAGGATGCTTACTCTGTCAACTCCTCAATTTTGCTCAGACTTCCTCGCCCTATTGTGGCCAAAATATGTCGCTTAGGATTTTTTTATTATTTTTCCCTTGATCAGAAACACATTTTAACAACCTTAGGATTTTTTTTATTGTGCCAGGCAGTGTTGAAGGCTATTAATAGCTGAGCAGCACGGGGGTTAATGTTTGTACTGGAAAGCATGGTGCTTCAAAGAGCAAGATTCATTGAATGAATATAAAGTTTTTTCCATTGATGGGTACTTGAAACCATTTCAAGGCCTTCCTAGGCCAGTAGCCCACCTGTCCTGGGATGCAACGTTCATCAGCTGCCACATCCCAGGTGCACATTTATTGCTAGGTGAACATAGGCGTATGTTTAAACAAACATGCCCCAACATTATGAACTGACTGGGATATAGTTGTAATGATGCAGCTTGTAGGGAAGGTTAAGTTAGGCAAGGATTTTCAAGTTTCTCAGTTTGTGTAAATAGTGTAGGGTCTTGCCTCAGTCCTTGATATGTTATCAACCTGACATTGTTGTGATTACCCTGTACAGTATTTGTGTTGGTCTCATGTGCATAGATGAATGTTAATATCAGTATGAATAAAGGCATCAATATATCTAACAAAAGTTTTCTTGACAGAACATGAAGTGCAAAATGCCAGATGAAACCCAACAAGCTGAGATTGCAGCTCAATATAACCTCCAATCTCAGCAAGCTGAAACTGCAGCTCAACAAAGCCTTCAAACCCAGCAAGCTGAGATTGCAGCTCAGCAAAGCCTCCAAACCCAGCAAGTTGAAATTGAAGCCCAACACAACCTCGTTGCTGTGGAGGCAGTGAAGCCTCAATTGGGGCTACGGCTACAGAAGTCTTCCCAACAGCTGAGGACCAGCTCTACAGAGCCTCAGCCTTGCTCCCAACTCAAGGAACAGATCCTGTCCCAACAGCAGAAGACTAAGGGCAAACTTCCTCTGCACCACTTGAATCTCAAATTACGGACTGTAACCCAACAGCAGAAAGTTGAGAGCCTTCAACTCAAAAAGCTCATTCCTCAACTCCAGTGTAAGTCTATATAGTTTTAGGTTTCTTCTTATTTCACTACTATCAGGCAAAAAAATTTGAGGCATCAATATTTTAATATAACTAACTAATTATTGGGTTTTCCCAATAAGGATATCATATCTTTTAGGGGGGTGTCGTCTTGTGGTTCCCCAAAGCTACTATCACAGATAGTATACCGTTACTAAGTCGCATCGGTTGCAGAATTTGATTGGCCTGCCATGGACCAGATTCAGAACCTGGCCCACTCTGAAGAGCCTTAACCCTTAACATGCTAGGGGTATAATATCCTTTGTTCCCCACAGGCGCATGTAATTTTGAAAAAAAAAAAGAAAAAAAATTATTTTTTCTTCCTAACCTGTTAACACTTTCACGCTCCCGGCGAAGGTCAGGGAAACAACCGTATGTGCGCGCGGCGTTTTTATCGCTTAAGCGTAAAAACAAAAATGTGTATACTCTTTTTACTCTCCTGACCTTAGTTCTCATGCTACGTATTTCATTTTGTTACCAATGTGTTCGCAATAAAATTCTCTAGAAGAACATCAGTAAAAAAAAGTCACGAAAGCTATAGAGATACCAGCACGAAATAAATAACTACGAAGATGAGTCGCCGTGAGCGCCCAACAGCAACAAAATGTTTTTATTCTTGGGATTATTATCACCTCTACAATTGTCCTACAGCCTTAATTTTGGTATCAATGGACTCCCAATGAAATTCCCAACTCGGTGATATGAATATAATCGTAGAATAATGGTCGCGGCCCACCCGCAAGAGTGTGGGAAGTGGGCGCACTGTTACCCGGTAACGGTGACCGGACGACACATGCGCGAAACGTTGCTTTGAAAGTTTATACTTATTTCACTGTCCTGATATTATTATTGTATGTATGTCATTCATTTTTGTGGCAATGCGTTCGCAATAGAATGTTCTATGAGCTAAATTATACTACACAAACTTGGACCAAATAGGTGTACTTACCAAGGGAAGGCTGGTTGTGGAACAGTAAGTTGAGCATTTGTTCTTCACTCCACCTTCTTCAGGTTCTTCATTCCTGAAGTTGCTCAACAGATGGTTTGTAGGTGGAGTGAAGCTGTTGCGGGTGGTTACTTCTTCACCACCCAATACACCCTTTTCCGGTGGTAATTGGTGTAGCAGGGAATAACACAGAGTGCAACATTGCAGGTCCTGCATCCTATGTTCGTGTCTTTCCTTTTACCAGACCGTGCGCATACATGACACTTGAGACGTTTGGGCAGTCTGTAAAGTTCATGTTTCAGTTTTGTGTTCATGCGATTTTCTGAATCAACAATAGGGCCAGGTCTTCTCGGTTGAGGTGAAACATTTGCAGGAGAGTCAGATTCATCTGACAAAACAGTTTCGTCAACTGGCAGTGTGGCAGACATGTCGGGTTCAGAATCGGTTGCTGCTTCATCTTGAGGTGGTGTAGTGAACAAAGGCCGCCTCACACCAGATGGTCCGGGAGTTGGCATGGCGTCAGCATTGGCAGGAGCTGTGTCATCATTTATGTCTGGAGCGTGCCGCAAGTGTTGAGATGATGATGTTGTTTTAGGCCACTCCTCTGTGTCCCAGTGCAATAGGGCCCAGATAGCCACTTCGTGGAACTGTAGCAATGTTAGCTTTTTTCGATCAGTTGTGTTGTATTTGTACAAAACATAGGCATTATGCAATGCCATTTGCAGGAAATAAAAGGTAATCTTTTTGGTCCACTTGTGAGTTTTCCTGGTAAAATGGTAATATTTAACCATTTGATCGAAGTGGTCCACACCTTTCATGAACTTATTGTACTCGCAAATTGCAGTCGGTTTGTTCACTGTTACCCGTTGTATTCCACTTGTTCCGTCTCGTTTGCGAATTCGTTTCCTTCACTGAACTTGCTGAGTGTCTGCATTGTGGATGTTGGTAATTATTGAGACTACTCGCTTGTCTCTCCACAGGAGAATGAAGGTGTTATCTTTGCGGCGGTATACGGTGGTATCAAGTGGAAATTTACCCTTGGCTAGAGCTTGCAATACCTTTGGGGCGCCACGTAGCATTCTAATTGTGCCACATGTGTACACCCCAAGTTCTCTCAATGTTTCTGTCAGGGTAACCGAGTTGTAGTAATTATCCATGTACAAATGGTAACCCTGGTTCACTAAAGGCTGCATCAACCCCGTTACTGTATCCACTATCGTCTTACCAATACCTGAGTATACGTCAAAGTCATATATGTACCCAGAGACAGATTCAGCAAGCATATAAAGTTTCACACCATACTTGTCTGGTTTGTTTGGATTGTACACTTTGAAGGATAGTCGGCCTCGCCATGGCATTGTACCCTCATCCAAACACAACTCTTTCTTGGGGATGTAAACTTCAGCAAACCTCTCTTTCAAGTAATCCATCACTGGCCTCACTTTTATCAACTTATCACAATTGTTCACGGGCACTGCATTGGTATTGAATGTGTGGAAAAACTGGTTTATATGCTGGAATCGTCTGGACGTCATGAACAAGATGAAGAAACGAGCATGCCATGGCTTTGCTGTTTGCCAATACATCCTCATAGTTGGGAGCCTAATTATGCCCATCAATATGAACAGTCCTATGAATCGCGCCATTTCACTCACCTTCACTGGGTTCCAAATATCTGATACATTTTCATTGGCCATCCGGAATAACTGCGAGGCGTACAAATTTGTTTCAACGGTCAAGAATTCAAGGAGGGCACGCGTGATGAACAATTGAATATAAGCCAGTGCACTAGTAGGTTTGGGAATTTTCAGTCCTGGATTTCCAGTAAAATCATCAACAACTGGAGGAGTATTGCTACGACTCCAGCCCTCACCAGCCCCAGCCTGCCGAGTACGTATTGTACGTGTACGCCTTTCAGGAGGCTCGAATGAATCCTCACTTTCCTCATCACTTATACTTTCAGAATCACATGGCACAGTTTGTCGTGTGTTCCTACGACGAGCAACATTTCTGGTAGCTACTTTTCTAGGTAGCCTAGATGCACCACGTGTGCGCCGAGATGGAGGAGGAGGAGGGGGTCGCGGTGCCTCCTCTTCCTCGGTGAGGGCCTCAGTCTCCTCATCACTCGTTGCCGTATCATTCCCTCTAGGTCTAGGTCCACTATAATCGTTGTGGTATCCAACATCTTCCTCCAATACCTCTACATCACCTTCAGCTTCTGATAAATCCTCCACAAGGCCTGGAATTTTCGTTGGTGTGAGCTTCACTACGCTCCACTTCTTAAAAATCTGGGTTATTTTGTCCACTTTCGATGACCTGGAGGCTTCCTTGGGCGTAGAAGTGCTTGGGCCTTGACCTGGATCCATTTTTGATGAAGTAATTGGGTATAATCCACACGGAAACGGGTAAAAATGCTCGAGTTTGGCGCGCGAGGGGAGCGTGATCGACACGTGACACGAAAACAATGGGCCCGTCACGTGACCGGGTAGGCCGACGCGCCGGGCGGCCTAGTGGTGAGAAAGAGAACTTCATGGCGCGTCGTTTGAAACAAACCCCAATGAAATCGGATTAAAATTGAATTTTATACAAATATTTTAAAAGAGGACATAACTTTATGTCCACTTAGCGGAAGCGGGTAGGTGAAACAGGACGCCGGGGTGCGTCCTGATACCGCGAAAGTGTTAATTTGTGTTCAGTGATCACAGGAAAAATAATAAACAAATCGTAAGTGCCATATATTGCCTGCTATAGGGCAGGGAAGTCTGGCAAAAAATAGACGCTGACTCAGCGTGCGTCCCAGGCGGTCTGTTGATCACCAGCTGTCAGGCCGGAGTTGCCACAAAGAGATAATTACCTAATTATTTCTATGTCTCTGATTGATTTTTCATAGTGTTTTTGCTGTAATATTATTCAATACTGTGTAGTTTGATATATTTATATAATAAAATGAGTGAATCATCGCTGTACTTAAAAATATGGTGTGCGTATTGTTGATTCAATTATGTTCATCAATCAGTGAACAAATACTTTGTCGGTTATTACACTATATACACAGGTTATATATAAGTATCTGCATGTTTAGTTCACCATAACGAACCACTAAGTAGCTATTATGAGTCAAAAAGTAACGAGGAGTGACCACCGTGTACTAGCCAGTCACTCACGCTCTCCCTCAAGTCATCTGACTCACCCACATTTTCCTCCCACAATACTGTTTTTGCTTTTATTCACTATATATAGACGTTATATATAAATATCTCCATTCGTGTTCACCATAACGAGCCACTAAGTTGGTATGCTGAGTGGCAGTGGCAGCCCGCCACTGGCTGCCAATCCCTCCCTCCCTCCCTCACCTCACCTGACTTGCCACCAATCTCCACTCACCATACTGTTTTTGCTTTTATATACAGATGTTATATATAAGTATTTACATGTTTTGTTCTCCATAACTGTACATCTAAGCTTGTATGGTGAGTAAAGGCACAAAGTCGTAGGACCTCACACAGTCAGCTGATGGCTGCCGCCCTCAAGGCCAGACGCACTAATATTTCTCCTCCAACAATACTGTTTGTGGTGTTATTACGCTATATACACACATTATATATAAATATCTACCTGTTTTATTCACCATACTTGTACAAGTAAACTGGTATGGTGCCCAAAGACCATCGTGGTAACCAGTAAACAACACCGTCGTCTGCATAGTGGCGTCGTGCAGACGACGCCACTGCCCTCACCAAAATGGCGGCTCCCAACCTACTCTTCTTGCTGTTTATACCCTCTATACACACATTATAGACAAGTATCTACATTTGTGTTCACCATAGCGAACCACTAAGCTGGTACGGTGAGTGCAGTCAATAAAAGTTGGCCACACACAGTCAGAAGACAACGCCACCACCCTCCCTCCCACAGCATTACTCCTACCTCTATGGTGCACAGCACTAAATATTGCCACAATCCTGCTATTATCAGAACCCTGGTCAGTTTTATCACAGTCAGGGGTCTTCTGTAATAATATCATCGC